ATTAATGTCTTCAGTGATCTTGAAATGGAGTCTTTAGCTATATAGCATGGAGACTTCTTGATGTGAAAAGAACAAGAAAAGAAGGATCAGAAGGATTAGGTGTCTCTTTAGCTCTTTTATTCCCTTCTCTCTCTTCCTCCTGTTTTTCATCATTTGTTGGGAATATACTAAATATACACTGAGATAGCCTGTCTCCTCAAGGGGCAGAAATTCAAGTGAGGGAAATGGAAAACCAATCAGGCAATCATAAAATTTTGTGGCAGATGCTACGATGTCACAGGTACATTGTATTTTGATAACTCTCCAAGGGGTTGGGAAACTTTGATTTATTACCTAAGCTTCAGTTGTATATACAATTATATCTGTTCTACCTATTTTATGAGATTGCTGTGAGGTTCAGAGTACCATTGTATATTAATTACAGTTGTAATTATAGCTGCAAATAGTTATTGGTGATAATCAATATGGTAGAATACAGCAGTTTCTTATAAAATTTATAAATAACATTTTTTAAAAACTAATGTTAGTAAAGTAACTATTTTGTTTTCCCTAAGTGAAATTCTGAAACTTTACTTCCATTTTGAAATCTTCCTTGGTTCTTCCTAAAAAAAACCTTTTTCCTCTGTTTTAATCAGTGCTGCCTCACTATCTTTTTCATGCTTCTATTTCTGCACTTAATCCATTGCGTTGCAATTCTGTATTTACATTTATATCTTTTCCACTAGGCTATTAGCACTATAAGCATATTTGTCCAGCTTTGTGTTATCAGTGGCAGCCATATATAGTAAGTGTTTGATAAATGTTTGTTAAATAGATTTGAGAGGGAAAGTTTCCAGTGATGTTTCTTTGCGTGTTTAATTATAGTTTCTAGTGGGCAACAATGATAATATTGTGATAAAGATGAAGACGCATATTTATAATTCTGAGGGTCTCGGGGAGAAGATAAAAATACAAACACATAATTACAGCTCATTGTAGAAGTATGGAAAAGGTAGACAGGCAACACTGATTAAAATAGAGGGAATAGTGTTTTTCAAAATGAATCAAGGAAGATTTCAAAAAGGAGTTAGAGATTGTTGATTTCAGTTAGAAAAATCAGATTAATTACTTCATTAATGTTAATTTATTTTTAAATGTTAATACATAGAAAATTTGTTCTGTTAAAGATAATATACAAGTATGTGATAATAAAGTACTCTGGGTGTCCTGTGGTCAAATTAGAGACTCTTTGAGCAGACCCATCCTGTCTATGGTCCAGAGGAAATGAGGAGAAAGTTGGCAGCAACTTGTCCATTGATAGAATGAGGAGCTTGGAAAAGAGGGAAATTTAATTGAGTTTTGCAGGTTGTTCAGTGTCTAAAGTGTTATTGAATATCCTAACCTCTTTTTGCACCAGCAGAGTTTTTCAATTCCATCTTCTCTAAAGCTCAAGTTTTCTTGTGTGTAAATTAAGGTGATTTAGTCAAATGATCTTTAGTACCACTTCTAGCTCATGGTTATAATATTTTTTAGTGGGTTTTCTTTGTAAATAACTTGGTAAAATAAGCTTTAACAAATTGAAGGAATTTCTATAATCTGTTAAATATTATGCACCTTCATTCTCCCTATGTTTTTATTATATAAACATTATTTAAAAAAAGTTCAAGAAGGTAGGCTTTAAATTGGTTTTCATAGAATAAAAGATGTGCAAGAGATGAAAGACAGTAGGGACGGCTTTGGGAATGGTGAGAATGAGCAATAGCTTCATACTAAGAATGTTGACAAAGTTGGAAGATTGAATAAATAGACAAGAAGACCTGGAATGTCTTGTAGATTTCCCATTTAATTCCATAAGCAATAGTGGTCCATGTTCAGACAGGAAGAGAGGACAAAGTTGTACCTCTTGAATGTCATCAAAGACTTGGCAGTGGATGAAACCAGCATTAGCAAAAAGGAAGAGAAAATAAAATTGCTAAGGACACAACTGGCACTGTTCTGTATTAAGAGAAGAGAGAGGCTGGAATGGAAGCACGTCCTGAAAGGAAGGAGGGTTGATTTTGCCAAGTAGTCATATCATTCCATTCAAAAGCGTTGGAAAGGATGCTTACAGCTGGAGGGATATGGCAGCTCTGCAAGCCTTTACTGCCTGAGTGTTTCTCATAACTGATAAAAGATTTATCTCAGCTGTCCAGTGTGGTCTGCAAAATGTTTATTAATGAGCTTCAGGAAAGATTTCTTATCTTTGTTGAAAACCGGTATATATGTGAGAGTCTCTAGATAACTGAAATGAAGACTAATCAGTTTTTTATTTTAATAGCATCCCTTGATCTCCACTCTTAAAGAAGAATAGGTGTGTATATATATATATATATTGTTGTTGTTAAGTGCCATCGAGTTGGTTCCTACCCATAGCAATTGCTTCCAAGGAGCAATTGGTGAGTTTGAACTGCCAACCTTGTAGTTCAAACCCACTTTGCAGTCCCGCGTATTAATCCACAGTGCCACACCAGGACTCTCTCTCTTTGTGTGTGTGTGTGTGTGTGTGTGTGTGTATATACACACACACACACACACACACATCCAGAGCTATTTTTTATTTTTTTATTATTGTAGGTGATTTTCCTGCATGTGTATACTTTTTTATTCTTTATGTAATTGTGTCTTCTTTTTCTAGGCTTCTTTGTATATGTTTGTACTTCTTGAGTTTTAAATTCTAGGATTATTTGAGTATTATCCTATGTAGGAACCTAGAAGGTTGGCTTGGCAATGCTGCTTACAATTTATATGTCAGGGTGTAACTGCCTGGCATATTCTTTGCTGTTTTGCATTCCATTGCGAACTATGCCTTTGTTTAGTCTTGAGGGAGTAGGCTTCTTTGATTTACCATATTCTTGGGACATGACTTTTACATAGCTAATAACTGGTCTGCTTTGTATGGAATGCAGATGTTTGCATTTTTGCATAGCTTCTCCAATCTCCTTGCCATTCCTTTTGCGTACTGCAAGGTGTCTAAGATCTATAGTGAAAGACAGAGGCATTTTTTTTTTCATGTAATTGCTAATAAAATTATATGAGGTATAGCAGACAAATTGGGTCTCCCTTCCAGTTTACCTCATTTATTTTCTAAAATCCTACAGTCTTTTTTTATACCACACGTAGCACAATATGGAATGTCTGGTTAATTAATTATTATTCATTGAAGCTACAAGTCCTTTACTAGCAGTTTGCTTTTGAAGCTAGAAAACGTTTTGTAAAGCTAAATTTTAAGTACCTTATAATTTTAAAAAGTATTGTGTTTGTGCATCAGTTTTAACACAGTGCAGGAGAAAGAGGAGGCTTTCTGCTCCTGTAAAAGTTTACAGCCTTGGATACCCTGTGCAGGGTCACTGTTAGTCGGAACCGACTCCATAGCACATAACACAACATAACTTCATTTGAAGGTATAAAAGAAACTTTTTGTCCACCCTAGGAATTTAAGATAGTATGTCTGTGCATATGTGATAATCATTTGAATTTAAATATTATTACTTAAATACACGATACTTTTTGAGGATTGTAATTGCTATCCTTCCAATTCATAACGTCTGTTTTCTACTTATCTATTTTAAAGATTACATTTTTCATTTTTAAGGGCGTTAACTTTGAGGATTATGCTATTTATTATAAATATGCTGTGTCTTACCAATATAAATAAATAAATACCTCACCCCAAACTTGGTATCTGGGCTCCTTCTCCTTCCTTGATTTAGTTCTTGCCTCTCCAGGAAACATAGTGGCCTGCAGTGGCCCCAGTGGCCTTAAAAACTATGATTTGTGCAATACATCAGGGTAGTTGTAATGGCTGTCACGGTCCCAAAGGCAATTACAGTGGGCAAAACCAGCACAGGAGAGTGGTGATAGCAGTATAAGGCAGCCATGGGAAAAGAAGTCATAGGGACCATTTTCTGCTTTTTAAAAACATCTTGTATTTGCACTCTGCCAAGTTCTTAAAAACTTTAGGGAATACACAAATGTTCATTATCTAGTTGATATAACAGATATAATACAAATGTTGTTATAATTTGGGAATGAGATCTCTTTTACGGAGACAGGGTTAGTGTACAGTGTGTTTGGGGTCAATATATTTTGAGATATAAAACAGATTAAGTAAAACAGTGAGTTGGTTGGGATTATAAAGATAGGTGGTAGGTATAGAGGCTAGGATTTAAAATATATGTTTTTTTACAATTCAATCCATAACGTGCCGTAAAGCTTCATTTATTTACATGCTTGTTCCATTCTTACCACTTTTTTTTTTAATTTACAGAAAAGTTGCAGACACTTCTTATACCTTATATTTGAGTAAGCTGAATTATTGAATAAATAGGTGTTTATTTAGAGTCTAGCAATAAGGTAGAGTCTTGGTGTGGTGCTGTAGAATAAGCACTGAACTGCTGCTAATCACAAAGTTGTTGGTTCAAACCCACCAGCCTCTGCTTGGAAACCCTAGACAGCAACAACAAGCCGTAAATTAGGTGCTCAATACACATTCCTTGACTGGTGAGGGTAACAACGGGCCATTCCTTAGGAGTGCCTGGTGAGCTTGAACCATCAACCCTGAGGTTCAAATTGACTTTGCAGTCCAGCACATTAACCCATCGTGTCACATCAGACTCCCTTTTTAGTATAATGTACTGTGGTATAAATTATAGTTTGGTGGTGGTTGTGTGCCATGGAGTGGGTTCTGACTCATAGCGACCCTGTGTAGGGTTTCTGAGGCTGTAAATCTTTACGGGAACAGAAAGCCTCATCTTTCTCTCACAGAGCAGTTGGTATATTCAATCTACTGACCTCACAGTTAGCAGCAGCCCAACTTGTAAACTGCTCCACTATTAATTGTAAAACAGCCTTTGGTGTTGTGCTGTTTCTTATTCTTAACTAACCATATTTAGCACAGTGAAAAAACACATGAAAAGACAAATGAAAGTCTTTATAATACTATTGATACTATGTATTGACCAGGTCACTTTTTATCTTTACAGAAATTGGCCCAGTTACAATTACCACTGATCCCAAGAAATTTCAGTATGAACTCAGAGAGCTCTATGTTCAGGTGAGTGCTTGCCTTCGATTTTACGTCTTTATGGAATGAAAAATGGTGGCTTTTTGGCTTATTTTCCTTACTTTTAAATCTGAAAGTATTCATTGTTGGGTTGTTGTTATTGTAGTTAAGTACCATTGAGTCAGTTCCAACTCATAGTGACCCTGTATAGATTTACTGAGGAGTAGCTGGTGGTTTTAACAACTGACCTTGCAGTTCAAACCTACTTTTGGATCCAATGCTTTATCCTGCACTGCACCAGAACTCCATTGGGTTGCTAGTGCCCCTGCTAAATACTCCCTATTTTTCCCACCTGAATTTTGAGTCAACTAAGCTGTAGATATGGGAGTGCGGCATATGGGGCTCAAAATATTATTTTTATTACTAATACAGTATTTACAGAACGTGGCTTTCTAACAGTTCCTTGAACTGCATGTTCTTACTAGCATAAAGAGTGTCTGACACTGCTAGATGACTAGGAACCATCCTTTCTCTAGGGAGGGAAATCATTAAGAATGGACCCAGAAGGGTTTACCCCATCCCTTCTCCCAAATTTGACAATAGAATAACTCAATCTGCTTTTGCTGAGAAACGGTGAGTCTTGGTAAAGTGAGGGGTCAAGAGTGTGACTCCAGAACCAGGGGTCAATAAACTACGGTCCAGCTGTTTACCTAGTAACCATCAAGGCAAGCCATCAAGCCCCTTCAGGATAAACCCCCTTCCAGAACTGAAACTCAAAGAAAACACATGAGCAGGCTTATAAGCTCGCTGGTGGCCATGTTGGCCTACTTATAAGTAGAAGTGGGGGAAAGGCAGTAATGAAGACATGGGATGAGTTGGAACATGTTCCATAGACACCTGTCAACCATGAGTTAAGAGACAGAAGAAGAAGGGCTAGTTGGTCTGAAGTTTAGAGAGACTTGTGAACTCCTGAGCCCATGAACACTGGCCTAGCCATGGAAGGCTGATGCTTAGAGTGAAGCGTCAGCTGATAGGAAGTGTGGGGAGGGGTGCAAGAATGCACAAACTTGAAGATGTTGTTGTTGTCATGTGCCGTGGAGTCGGTTTCGACTCATAGCGACCCTGTACAGGGTTGCTGAGGCTGTACGGGAGCAGAAAACCTCATCTTTCTCCCGCAGAACAGCTGGTAGTTTCGAACTGCTGACCTTGAGGTTCACAGCCCAATTCGTAACCACTACGCTACCAGAGCTCCTTGCAGATAGTACCCAGATAAAGACCTAGCATGGATGGCTTGAGGATCAGAACTTGGCTAGAGAAAGATAAAGACATTTGATGCAGGAAGCAAGTATAAACTGCTACAATTTGATGAACTTGACCTTTACATATAGATATAGTAGCTCAAAATACCAACCAAGCGGGAAGGACTCTTCAAATCAAGGATCAAGCCTATCCTCTCAATACGCAGGTTTGATCGGGACAGGCAACTTAGACATTGGCTATCTAAAATGGGGGATAAGGGTATTATAAAGGCATGAAGTGACTGGGTTACACGTTTTCAAGAAAGAGTTTAGTTTCATCGAGTGTGCGGGGAAGATAGAATCCCCATTGAATAGTTTTCATCTTGTTTAGATGGATGTAGTGAAAGGAGATGGGGATAGCATTCTTTTGATTCAAAAGTGAATATTGTTATCATGACTAATTGTGACTGTCGCAACTGTAAAGGTAGAAGTTTTGTAACAAAAAGTGGGGAGTAGTTAATCTTACATTCCAGGAACAGATGACCCTAGGACCATCAAGAGAGAAGAGCATGAGCAGAACGTGGGACCCTAACTAGAGAAGCAGTGACACCAGAGATAAAGGCAGAGGTGATGGCATGGAGAGAGAGCAGCTGAGGACTCAGACTCATGGAAAGAGAAAGTCTGTGTGCTGGCGGCCAGGAGGCAGAGTTGCAGAATGTGCCCTTTGGTTGTTTAAACAGTTATATATTCC